ATTTTCACGCAAATTCTTCTGCTAGTTGGGGTTTAGTCCAAATCTGCATCCTTTCCTTCAAGGCTCAGGGGTCCAAGATTATCTTCTGTGTCTGTAGTTATTGGTTTCCCTTTTCTTTGTTGAAGAGGGTCTGTGCAATCCTTCTGCCTAGTCCGCCATCTTGCCCCGCCTCCTGATTAAAAGTTTTTGAAAACATTTTCTTTTCCATTACTAATTTCAAACAGTTGCAATTGTAGTTAACAACTACAAGTTTTTCTTTGCTACCTTCAGTGTTTCTTTTAATATTTCTTTATGGGGAAGAAATTTATCTCTAGTTTTTTGTAATTCTTGAGAACTCAGAGGATTTTGACTAATTGGAAGAGGTGTCAAAAGAGCAGAGAATATATCTTTTATTGTTAGAAATACAAGAAATGAAATCTTCAGGTCCTACCATGTAGTAGTCACTCAGTAAATGTTTATTGAACTAGAAAGTTTTAATACTTTCGATAAAGAATTTGTTGTGTGTATTTTCTTCCAGCACTATAACAAAGTCATGTTTGATAGAATTAAATGTGATTCTTTGCTTACTTTTTAAGTTAAAATATGTCTTTTTCCTTATGAAATGATGGAGTTGTAAACACCGCAAAGTTAATGGCTTTGCTAGAATAAAAGCCAAATGCAGTATGTGATCCTTGATTGAATCCTAGATTGAGAAAAATAGCGGCAGTGATGTGCTTGGTCAGCTCTTCCAGGCTCTCTGTACACCACCTCTTCCAGCATAGCATTTGCTGACTCCATATGGACAGTTTATCCGCTGCTGGAGGAGTATTTATGTAGGGAAATTGACAAATGCTGCACATCAGGCATAAATACTCCACTCCCACCTCCCAACTGGCTGTGAAACATTTACTATTGCTTTTAAGAAACATAATAGGCCAATTGGACAATTTTTAATATAGACTGTGTATTAGATAATATTATTGTATCACTGTTAAATTACTTGGATGCGATAATGGTAGTATGATTATGTTAGAGGAATCAGGTGTTGGTATACTTTTTCAACTTTTCAATAGGTTTAAAATTTTTCAAAATAATAAACTTGTGGGGAAAAGGCAATATTTGGAACCACAGAGTTTCAGAATTAGAAGGACTATCAAAGCTCTTCAATGTACAGATACGGTTTGGAGGGTAGAGTAACTCAGCCAGCATCATATAACCCATAAATGTCCAAGGCAGGATTTGAACTCAAGTCTTTCATTCTAAATTAGAGTTTCCATTCCCTGAAAGCATTTGCTTAAAAAAAATTTTTAAAACCCCTTCTTGTTTCATAATGGTCTCGTCTGTTTTTTTTTTTTTTAAATGTGAAATATCTTTATTTTTAAAATACTACTTGGGCTAGAGAAAGTGCCCCTAATTTATGAACTGTTTTTCTATTCAAAAGATTTTTATTTTAGACAAAAAATTGGGTATGTCTCTTGAGTTGTAAAATCACTGCTGTTATTACTAGCATGTAACTTTAAAGAGATTATTTTTTCCTGTCTTTTTTATTATGGTGAAAGTACCGAAACATCCACCAACATAACTTCCACATATACAACTTAATGACATTGATTTTTCATCTTGTTCCCCTATTATCGCTATCCTGATCCAAAACATTCCTCCATTATTAACATAAATTCAGTGTCCCCAAAAGAAAAACTCCCTCTTTTCCCCTCCCTCCCACTCGTAGAAACCTTTAATAATTTTTGGTTTCTATATATTTGCTAAGGAGCTCTGGTGCATAGTGGTTAAGGCACTTGACTGCTAATCAGAAGGCTGGCAGTTCAAACCCACCAGCCACTCCTCAGAAGGAAGATGGGGCAATCTACTTCTGTAGTGATACTGCCTCGGAAACCCAAGGAGGGGTCGCTGTGAGTTGGGTCCAACTCGATGGCACATAACAACAACAACAACAACATATATTTGCTTATTTTATTGAATTGAAATCATATAGGATTTGTTTATATACAAAATCCTACAGCACAATATTTTCAAGATCCATCCATGTCATAACATGCGTCAGAACTTCATTTCTCTTTATGGCTGCATAATATTCCATTGTATATGTACCACATTTTGTTTATCCATTTATTTGTTGATGGCCATTTGGGTGGTTTCCACCTATTGGCTATTGTGAAACCTGTTTACCAACCTTCTCTTCTTCTGCGTATATGAGCTGGAATTGACACCATGGCACACAGTATCAGCACCACCTGGGACTGGGATTGCTCAGTAATGTATATATTATATATAGTAATACTGTGTTCAACTTTTTGAGGAACTGCCAAACTGTTTTCCATAGTGGCTGTACTATTTTACATTCCTGTCCTCAATGGATGAGCATTTAGTTTCTCTGCAATCTCACCAACATTTATTGTTAAAGAGAGGAAAAGTAGTATTATCTTAAGAAATACAAAGCACTTAAATGGACTTTTCTCTTTTCATAGGTATGTAGGATTTTGTATGAAGTTTGTAAATATGCTACTATCTCATGGGATCAAGCCTATTCTTGTATTTGACGGATGTACTTTACCTTCTAAAAAGGAAGTGGAGAAGTCTAGAAGAGAGTAAGTTTATTCTCTTACCTCTTAATTTTATTGTATTAAGGTCAGATACTGTGGTCAGTATGATAATTTTTAAAATTTTAATTTGTTGAGGCTTGGTTTATAACCTAGAATATGAAAATCTTTCCTTAAATGTTCTATATGAAAAGAATATGTATTCATTCTTCAATTATTGCATGGAAAGTTTTATGCCTGTCGAGTAAATCAAGTTTACGGATTATAGTGTACAAATCTTCTATCTCCTTAACAGTTTTTTGGACTTTTTTGGTTTGTTTTGTGCATATATCCACTTAATCTCTTAATTATAGAGAAAAGTCTGTTAAAATCTCATTATGGGTTGTGAATTTGTTAATCACCTTGTAGTTATGTCCATTTTCTATTTGTTACTCTGAATCTATTTTATTAAGTGCATTCAAGTTTAGAATTCCTTGTATCTTTTTGGTAAATTGAAACTTGATTAATTTCTCTTATTTCTAGCAATGCCTTTTTCTTTTAAAGTCTGTTCTATCTGATATTAGTGTAGCCACTTAACTTTCTTTATTTTCCTGATATATCTTTTTCTATTTACTTTCAGCATTACTGTGTCATTATAGGTATGTCTCTTGTAAAAAACATATAGCTGCATTTTTTTAAGTCTAGTCTATCATTCTTTGTTATTTTTTTTTATCTTTTAAATGGATAATTTTATTCCCTTTACATTGATAACCAATATATTTAGACTCATTTATTTCTCTTATTTTATACTTTATATTTATCCTGCTTCTTCTCTTTCTTTTTTATGGTAACCTCTACCTTTTTTGACTTTTGGATTAATTATTTTTCCTACCCTTATTCTATTCTCTTTTACTTCTATTTGAGAGAAAGGAGCTCTTGGTGTAGTGGATAAGGCATTTGGCTGCCAACCAGAAAGATTGATGGTTCAAACCCACCAGCTGTTCTGTGGGAGGAAGATGAAGAAATCTTTTTCTATAAAGATTTATATACAGCCTTGGAAACCCAATGAGGGTTGCTTTGAGTCAGAATCAACTCAATGGCAGTGTTTGGCTTTGGGTTTATACTCTTGTTTCTGCTCTTATAGTAGTTATCTCAGACATGTTATCACTATCTACACTGGAAGAATCTAATAATTTTACATGAGGACCTTAAAAAGAATTTCTCAGTTTTAATGGAGCAGCTATTCTGCCATGTTTCATCTCTTCTTATTTTTCCTGTGTATTAGTTTTTAGGTCCAGGAGTCATCATGTCGTGTTGGGAAGACCATTAGGCTTGCTTGTGAAAAGGTAGCATGAAGTATACCCAAATAGAAGTAAGCCTAATATAGGGAGTGTTTTATAACAGGTTACATACCTGGGATTGCCCTTGCTGGGTCTAGAATCAAGTTAGAGATGATCTTTTCAAGTGTAGGTTTTTCATTTGAGCTATATTTAAGAGCTCTGATTTTTAAAGTCAGAGCTTTAACTAAGAATATCTGAGCCCATGTTTTAATATGAACAATATACAGTTTACTAAGCATATTGTTAATAAGAATCATTTAGTTCTTTTTTTAGGGAGGGCCTTTACTATCCTCATTTTATTTATTTACTTATTTTTTATTATTGTGATTTGAGTGAAAGTTTACAGAGCAAATTGGTTTGCCATTTAACAGTTCAAACACATTTTGTGACATTGTTTGCAATCTGTACAATGTAATTAGCATTCTTCCCACTTGTCCCTGTGTTTCTGGTTTCCATTCATCCTTCTTTCCTTTCCCTTCCTGTCTTCTAAGCTTTATACCTGAGCAAAAAAAAAATGCTCTTTTGATCTCATGCCTCATTGTTCGAAGGAGTGTGATCTCGCTAGTGTTATTGTTCACCTTACAGACCTGTCTGTTGTTTGGCTAAAAGTTGAGTCATAGGGATAAGTTCAGTTCCAGGCTTGAAGGGTGACTAAGGGCCAGTCTCAGGCATCTCTCCAGTTTCTATCAGACCAGTAAGCCTGGGTTTTTAAGGATTATGAGTTTTGTTCCACATATTTCTCCCACTCTATCTGGGATCTTCTATTGTGATCCCTTTCAGGGTGGTCAGCAGTGATTTGTTGTTGTTGTTGTTATTTGCCATCGAGTCGGCCCTGACTCATAGCGACCCCTCCTTGGGTTTCCGAGGCAGCTCTGGTAGCATAGTGCCTAAGGCACCTGACTGCTCACCAGAAGGCTGGCGGTTCAAACCCACCAGCCACTCCTCGGAAGGAAGGTTGGGCAATCCTACTTCCGTAGTGATACTGCCTCGGAAACCCAAGAAGGGGTCGCTATGAGTCTGGGCCGACTCCACGGCAAACAACAACAATCAGTACGGAAGTAGGAATGCCCAACCTTCCTTCCGAGGAGTGGCTGGTGGGTTTGAACCTCCAGCCTTCTGGTTAGCAGTCAAGTGCCTTAGGCACTATGCTATCAGCAGTGATAGATAGCCAGATACTATCTCATTCTTCGGGGAGGCTGAGGTTTATGTGGTTCATTAGTCTTTTGGACTATGTTTCCATGCATCTTTGATTTTCTTCACTCTTCTTTGCTTTGGATGAGAAGAGACCAGTAGCTGTACCTTAGCTACCTAGATGGCCATTCGCTAGCTTTTAGTGACTTCAGTCACTAAAAAATTAGTTACGAGATTGTTTTTTAAGGTACTGGAGGCAACCCTAAAGGTGTATGGCTAAGGGACTAGTCCAAACCATAGCTCACTGGGTACCCCTCCCCAAATTATTTTTCTTTTTTTGTGTGTATCTTTTTTTTTTTTTTTAATTTTTATTATGATTTGGGTGAAAGTGTACAGAGCAAATTCATTTTCCATACTGCAGTTCACATACACTTGGTCTCATGACATTGACTGCAATTTCCCACAGTGCAACAGCTCTGTTCCCACTTCCTCCCCATAGCCACCTCTTCCCTGTGTCCTTCCCTCCCATGTACTCCCACCCACTGAGCTGTGGATACACAGCCCTTCTGTTCTTCCATGTTTGATCTCTCCAAGGAGTGTATCTGTTGTTGTTATGTGCTGCCGAGTTGGACCTGACTCATAGCAACCCCTCCTTGGGTTTCCAAGGCAGTATCACTATGGAAGTAGATTGCCCCACCCCCAACCTTCTTTCTGAGGAGTGGCTGATGGGTTTGAACCACCAGCCTTCTGGTTAGCAGTCAAGTGCCTTAGGCACTACGCTACCAGAGCTCCAGGAGTATATCTACCTAATGTAAATGTTCAGCTCATATGCCTGTCTTTTGTTTGGCTGGAAGCGACAGGAGTAGTTTCAATTCCAGACCTGAAGGGCAGCTGGGGGCCATAGTCTCAGGGGTTCTACCAAGCTCTATCAGACCAGCAAACCTGATTTAGAATTTTGTTCTACATTGTTCTCCTATTCTACTCAGGATTTCCTACAGAGATCCCCCTCTGAGTGGTTGATGGTGGTATCCAGGCACCATCTAGTTCTTCTGGTCTCAGAGTCACATGGGCTGTACCAGTTGCATGGTGTACCAGTCCCTTGGACTAATTGTTTCCATGCGTCTTTGGTTTTCTTCATTCTTCTTTGTTTTGGACAAGGAACGACCCATTGTTGCATGTAAATGGCTGTTTGCAAGCTTTTAAGATCCTAGTTACTACTCGCAAAAGTAGGATGTAGAACAATGTTTTTGTGTAGTATGTCATGCCAATTGATTTTGATGTCCCCTGTGACCATGGTCCCAAGCCCACAGGTCCAACTACTTGCTCCCTCTGGGTAGCTGGCTGTGGACAAGAAGCCTCACCATATTCTTAATTGTAATCACAAATGTTATTAGTTGATGTAGAATCAGCTCCAATTCATGGTGACTCCATGTACAACAGAAGGAAATGCTGGCCAGTCTTGCACCTTTTCCATGATCGTTGGTGTGCTCAAATCCATTTTTGTCACAACTGTGTGTTTTCAGTGTCTTCCCACCCAAAGATCTCAGTTTCCAGCAGTGTATCAGACAGTATTCTGCTATGATCCATTGAGTTTTAATTGGCTAATTTTTGACAGTAGTTTGCCAGACCTTTCATTATAGCCTGTCTTGGTCTGGAAGTGCCACTGAAATCTGTGCTCCATTGGTGACCCTGCTTTTATTTGAAATACTGGTGGCATACATTCTAACAATATGGCAATATGTAAGCAACACAGTAGGACACATTGACATTCAGGTAATGGTAATCAGAGATAATTGTTATTCTCTTGTTAACCTCAGGAATGGTTGGAAGATGTTTCACCTGTCTTGGACTTGAGTGCTCTTTCTTATTTTTGTAGAATCAGCATTCTCTTTGTCACTTTGACAGTAAGAGAGGCATTTAAAATTCTTTTCCATAAAATCTTTTTCATGCATGGAGTTCAATCTAAAAAATGAATTTCCCATTTCCAAGTATTGTAACACTTCCTAGAAACAGAATTAAATATTCTCAGACAATAGCCTGTGGGGCTGTTACTTAATGATATTATGTGTGATATTCTATAGATTACCAGAGAACGTTGATTCTATGCTAGAAACAAAGGCATATCTTAATAGAATATATACCTTCAGAACATTAATTTTCTCCCCTGAACTTCAGTTTCTTCAACCATAAAATCAATGTAATAATGCTGAAATTTGATTTATGGAGGAGTAGATAAACGTGAACATCAGAGAAAATAACAAGTAGTAAAGTAATATATACAACTGCAAATTCTTAATAAATGCAAAGTAGTGGTATAATGATACTGCTTTTGCTTTCCAGTGACTGGGCTTAATTGAATCAGAAACTATATACCTGATAGTAAATTCTTAAGCACAGATATTTTAGTTCATCCATGTCACACTTGTATAGTGCTTACACACAGACGGTATGTAAAACCTTTACTGAATTGCATAGAAAAATACTTAGTTTATTTGAACTAATAATGTATTAGTCTGTGCAAGATAGTTGGCTAACTCAGAACTACTCATAGTGCATGGGGGGGTGTATCACCAAATAGTACCTTCAGTTCTTAGAGAAGCTTCACAATGTAGGCTCCTGGATAAAGGGACAAGAGAAATAAAAACAAAACAAAAAAGAAAACACAGAAATCACAATACCCTTTCATCCTATGAGTTACCTTGCCTGCTTTTCTGGATCTTCTCTCCCTTTAGTTTCAATACAGCAACAATTTGTTGAGCATTTGCTGTGTGCCACGTATTATGCAAGGTACAGGGTATGCAAGGCACCTGAGGGATTTACAAGGGGCTAAAATAACTGAGTTCTTTAAGAAGCAAATTGAATAATGAGTTGAGGACTGACATATTCAAAATGAAAAATTCTAGAAATCGTAGTAGGGAAAGTATGCTTACAGCTCCATATGGTTTTGGGCAAGTTTAAAGACTAGGTAAGTTTTTTTGAAGCAAAAACTTCTGCAAGAGATTGCTTTCAAAGTCAAAGTTTTAAACCAAAACAAACTATGCCATTCTGTGTTACTTTGTCCTACCTTCCATACTTAAAAAAAAAAAAAAAGACAAATAGTTGGCTAATTAAAATGTCTAGCAGAAAGATAAACTTTTTTCCCTGAGGAATATGGAAAACACTAATTGTTTATGGAATACTTGCTCTGGCAGAACACCTTTGTGAATGTTAGCAAGTGTTGAAATAAAAAAGATGGAATGTCACAAGCTTGTAAAATGCTTACAAGCTTGTGGTATATGCTAAATCAATAAGTAATCATAGCTTCTTTAGCTTTTTTTTGTTTATCATATATAAACACAGATAGAGATAATGACACAAAACAATGTGTAGCGTAATGAAATGTAACATTTACACCCTTATAACCATCTCATCCCCAGTCGAGAAATAAAACTTTCCTAGTCATCCAGAAACCTCTCTATGTGCCTTGACCTAGTCAATTTCCCCCTTCCTTCTGAAAATAACCACTATCCTCAGTTTTAGAGTAATCACTTCCTTGCATTTTATAGCTTGTATCATCTAAGTGTTCATATCTAGATATTAAAAGTTAATCACTCATCTTAAGTCTCTATGGCAAAACTATGGGTGGTGTTAAGTTTTTTTCTTCTTTCCTTTTTATTGTTCTTGTTGTTCTTATGTGCCCTCAAGTCAGAACTGACTCATAGCAACCCCTCCTTGGGTTTCCGAGGGAATATCACTATGGAAGTAGATTGCCCAACCTTCCTTCTGAGGAGTAGCTGGTGAATTTGAACCACCAGGCTTCTGGTTAGCAGTCAAGTGCCTTAGGCACTATGCTACCAGAGCTCCTTCCTTTTCGTTAGAAGGAAAAAATGTCTAGTATTTTCTCTCTTTGAGATGTTATAGCTGTTAGTGTTCATTGTCTAAATCCATTAATTCACTGCAGGTCACACGTGGGTGATGTTCTAATCCTGTCATTTCTCTCATTTATAAAGAAACACTTCTCATATATTTGGTCACACAGTGGTGTGAATCATAAGCCATGATGCAATTTCTGTGGGAAAGATAGCATAAATGTTTGATTTTCCCTTTATTAGTTTTCAAGATAATGTATTGGTTCCCTGTCGTTCTCTGAAGATGACCAATTTAAATATATTTGAAGGGTTTCAGTTCCTTTCTGTTATGATCCTTATTAACAGATGGTTATCAGGGATGGTTATAAGGGTATAATTGTCCCATTTTGGCCAGTAGGAATGTGTTTACGCCTCTCCCTCCCAAGTAGGTTTCTTGGTATACGTATCGCCCCACTTTTCCAAAGTTCCTTACACCACTTTGCTTTTACAAAAGACCTACATTAGTACTTGTTTTCTCTAACTGTAACAAATCTGAAGAGGATTTTCACTTTTATAAAGAAAACCCTGAGAAACAAAACTAGCATTCAGTGTTTGTTTTGCAGTAAGCTATTAAAGAGGTAGCACACACCCTAAGCTTTAAGAGTGGTGTATAGGAAATGATAAAAATAGAATATCTTATAATTTTACTAATTTATTTTACCCCATATTGTATTTACAATAATCTCAGAATAAAATACTAGTACTACCACTACCAATACAATGATTGAAAACAGTTAAAATTTCTTTCTCTTTGGGTACACTCTCTGACCCAATTTTAAAAACTGTGGTACTGTATTGTGAGAGCATGCAGCCGTTAGTCTCTTCCCATTTAATCTTTATTTAGTCTTGATTGTACAAATTATACATATAATTGTATCACCAGTCCTTATGTTGATATCTCATGTTATTTAGGTTTTTCTGAAATTTTGTTGTAGGTGATTCCACAGAAAAGACTCAGAAAAAGAAGTGTTCCTTAAGTTCAGTTCCTTAAGTTCATTGGTGATAAGTTTGTGACCTTTATTCTTTAAAGTTAGTTTTGACACTGTAAAAGCCTTTGCTCACATTTTCTTTCTTTACGTATCATAGTTAGTCTGTTTTCTTTTGACTTAAAACATTGCTGTGACGAAGTGATGGTATAATCTAATTTCCTTTATATCCTATCTCACTTGTTACTTTGCTAAAAAGCCCAGAGGATCTGGGTCAGTATTTGCAAGGATATAATGTGTATTTTCAATTGAATTGAAGTTTTTTTTCAGGAAAATTTCTTGAATTACGGTTTTCTTATAGTTTTTTGGGTCAGCTGTTTAATTTCTGTTTCCCCCTTGCAGAAGACGACAAGCCAATCTGCTTAAAGGAAAGCAGCTTCTTCGTGAAGGGAAGGTCTCAGAAGCCAGAGACTGTTTTACCCGCTCTATCAATATCACACATGCGATGGCCCACAAAGTAATTAAAGTAAGCTGAGTGAGAAAATGAAGCCAAAGTTCAAGTGACTAATTTGATTTAAGCTAGTTACAAGTTAGGAGCTCTGGTAGCATAGTGCCTAAGGCATTTGACTGCTAGCCAGAAGGCTGGTGGTTCAAACCCACCAGCCACTCCTCCGAAGGAAGGTTAGGCAATCCTACTTCTGTAGTGGTACTGCCTGAGAAACCCAAGGAGGGGCCGCTATGAGTTGGGGCTGACTCGACGGCACAGAACAACAACAATAAAATTACAAGTTGTTTATTAGTGGGAGAACAAGAAATTCAAGGCAGGAAAATTGCTATAACCTTAAATTCAAGTAGATGTCAGAGAAGAAGTAAACAGTATCTTTAGATAGAAGAGAAGTATCCATCAGCTTCCCAAGGAGAAAGCCTAAGGAATAAATGAGGCTCGCCCTTTTTGAGATAAGTAATTTGAATAGATGAATTTCATGGGGCATGTTGTTCCAGAGAACAAAAGGGAAAGCATCCTGGAGTTCAGTCTCACCCCACTGTCTTTTAGTCTTCAGCTTAATGTACCCTTCACTTTGGAACAACTGTCAGAGACCTATGAGACCAGCCTTACCAACCTAGGAGCTCTACAGACTCCTTTTCTCTTTGATCTGCTTTTGCTTATAAGCCCCTTCCTCCACCAACTTCCTTACCCATCGTAACTGTCAACATGCCCCACAGTCCTCACCCTCATCTTTCCCTTTTAGGGCCTGTTTTCAAACTGATTGTTAAATGGGTGATGATAAAGGTGGGATCAACTTTTTCTAGCTTATACTACTGCTAGCCAGTTCCTGAGCTAAAATAAGCACCAACATTCTTTTGGTAACTTAATATGTGGATGTATTTTTGCCCTTTCTGTGCGGTAGAAGAGGGTTTTATGCAGAAGGTGAAAAATAAGGGAAAAGTTGTGATTTTGCATTGTGTGTAGTAGAGGACCCAGACTGGGTAGGGGTGTGAAAAGACAAGAGTAGAGCTCTTGCTGGGCAAGAAAAAGAAATGAAAACAGCATAGATTACAACTTGCCAGAATTGGTAGCGGCAGGATCTTGAGACCTCTTTTCACCTTTCTTACTTCTCAAAGCCTCTGCCCCAGGCGTGGGAGCCATGACCCTGATTTGGAACAAAGAAGTTTCTGTTCCACCTGCTTGGATTTTGAGACAAGGAAGGAGTATGGTGGGGACTGTTTTTAAAAGTGTCTTTCCATAGATTTGTTTAAATATAGTAATTAGGTTTTATAGTTTTATCAGTACAGTGTTATGTTTCATGTATTATACTAAGTCAGATAGACTCTTAAAAAAGCTTGACAGGAGAAGCTATGATATTTATGGAGAAAATAACATTAAGAGCTCCATACTTTATGCCTTGTATGCTTTTGGAACACCACAGTTCTTCAGTTGGAAGCTTTTTATAATGTGAAATCACTAAGTTTTGTACTTGTATTTTTTAGGGTTTTTCGTCCTGTGAATGTATAATAATACTTCTTTTCTGCAGATTTATAAATTGATTTTTTAAAAAATTTCTCAGTAGCCATATGATTGGTATCGGTACTGCATATACTAGGACTAAAAGTAGAAAAACTACTTCAGAGGAAATAACTTCTGAAAATATTATTACATGTAGTGACTAGTAATAAAATGGATTAACGACAGGAAGCTATTTAGTGCTAACCAGATACCATGCTAGATATTCATAGTGATCCTCTTTCAGGCTGCTCGGTCCCAGGGAGTAGACTGTCTCGTGGCTCCGTATGAAGCAGATGCACAGTTGGCCTATCTTAACAAAACTAGCATTGTACAAGCTATCATCACAGAGGACTCTGATCTTCTAGCCTTTGGCTGTAAGAAGGTACTTAACTGCAATTACTATGCTTTACTTTTCTATATAGATGAAAGTAGGGTAGTTCAAGGAGCTAAAGTTTTTTCCCTCCAGGAATAATTATCTACTTATTTTATTTAATATCTGCAATTAACATCTGCTTTTCCAATATTAATAATTATTAAGTTCTGCTGCTTGACATTTGGTATAACCAGGGCATGTTTTCAGAGTAAGCCCTTAAGGTTAAAAGATTTTATTGTTGCTTCCTTCAAAAGATTTAATAGAATGTAGAATTATTACTCTTTTTTTTAATAATGATAACATACACTTTATAATTTTTAATTAAAGGCTTACTTTAAAAATGTAAAGATAGAAGGTAGGGAGAGAAAGCTTTTTGTATCAATCACTGGTTGATTGTCATGGCAGCCTTGTGATCTTGTGATGTAGGTATGAAGAAGAGAGGTACAGAAAGAGTATTCCTTGTATTATAGTGAGGAGAGTTGAATAGTTAGTCCTGGCTTTTGACAGGCTGTATAATTTTGGCAAGTCATATAGTTTAATTTATTTACAGATCTGGTAATAATAAAAGCCTGCCTACCTATCTTTCAGTGGTAGTAGTGAAGAATAAGATTTTTAAAATTATTACACTGAATTACATAATGAAATATAAGAACCCTTCAGATATTAACAATTTTCCTTCCTTTTGAAGGTTATTTTAAAAATGGATCAGCTTGGAAATGGCCTGGAAATTGATCAGGCTCGGCTCGGAATGTGCCGACAGCTTGGAGATGTGTTCACAGAGGAGAAGTTCCGTTATATGTGCATTCTCTCAGGCTGTGACTATCTCGCATCACTTCGTGGTATTGGATTAGCAAAGGCATGCAAACTACTAAGATTGGCTAATAATCCAGACATTGTAAAGGTAAGAGTGCTTTACCAAGTTTCATATTCAATTACTGAAGCGTTTCTTAAATAATAGAATAAACCACTCACAATATGGATTTTAAATATTCTATTATGTCAATAACCTATATGTGTCATTAAAAGAAAAAATAACTAACACTACAACTTTGCTTTTGGCAACTGGTGAACATTGGAAGAACCATATTTTCAACAACTGTAGTCATTTCAAAAATGAAGACTAATATAGAGATTTAAAGGCAAACCATCCTGGGGTAGAATTTGATATTTAAACTGATAACCTTTGATTTCTCTTTAGTAATAGTTATCATGGGAGCTCTGGTGGCATAGTGCCTAAAGCACTTGACTGCTAACCAGAAGGCTGATGGTTCAAACCCACCAGCTACTCCTCAGAAAGAAGATGGGGCAATCTACTTCTATAGTGATACAGCCTCGGAAACCCAAGGAGAAGTCGCTATGGGTCAGAGCTGACTCGATGACACATAACAACAACAACAGTAGTTATCAGACTTTTCGGTGTTAGGATTCCTTTGTACATTTAAAAGTTCTTTGTGGCAATAATTTTTGTTTATGTGGGTTATAGCTGTTGATATTTATCAAATCAGAAATGAAAACAGAAAGAATTTAAATATTTATTAATTCACTTAAAATAAGCAGTAATAAACATGTTAACACAGCATGGTTTTATTAAAAATATACTTTCCAAAACAAATAAAACTTATGAGGAGAGATAATTGTTTTACATTTTTTAAATTTCTTTAATGTGGCTTGATAGAAAGCAGCTAGATTCTCATATCTACTTCCACATTGAATCTAATATTGTACATCTTGTATCTTCTGGAAAACTCCTCTGTGTATTCCTAAGATACCATATAGCACTCTCTCATCTGTAGTTTCCCACATGTCTTTACCTTAAACAAATAAATAAACAGATAATCAAATAAGTTAATTTTTCTACCTGCAGTAGTTGTCTAAATGCTTTTATGGTTTTCAGAGCAGAGATCCCATTTTCTCCATCCGAGAATGTAAGCATGAGTGCTCAGGGATAAGAGTGTTACAATACAATGGAGAGATCTCTAGAGTGGGAGAGAGAGGCAGAGCTGGGAGTAGAGCAGCATGTCTTAACCAGCCTGTGACCCCAGGATCACTTCAGTTTTCTGAGTTTTCATTTCATCTACGAATTTGATATATTACATTTAAGACCCTTTCTAACTTAACCACACCTGACTCTAATAGAAATTAAAATGTTGACTTCATTTTTTTTACTTTTTTATTGTGATGTGACTAAAAGTTTACCAAGCAAATTGGTTTTCCATTCAACAATTCATACACATTGTGTTTTATGATATTGATTACAATCCTCACAATGTAAAAGCAGTCTTCACACTTCCTCCCTATGTTTCATTTCCATTCATCCATTCATCTTTCTTTTCCTTCCCGCCTTCAATGCTTTATCCCTGTACTAAAACTACAGTTTTGATATCTCATGGTCGGTAGTTCTAAGAAGTGTGAACCTCTCTGGTGTTATTGTTCACTTTTTAACTCTGTCGCTTGTTTAGCTCAAAGTTGAGCCATGGGGTTGAATTCAGTTCCAAACTTGAAGGGTGACTAAGGACCACAGTAAATGTTGACTTAATTTTAAAGATATGACCTAAGAATATTTGAATTCTTTAATTCTCAGGTTTTGTATGTTGTTTGTTTTGTATATGGATGAGACTTTCAGAGAAAATAATACATCTAAAAGTTAACCTCGGAAGGAAGATGGGGCAATCTACTTCTGTAGTGATACTGCCTCAGAAATCCAAGGAGGGGTCGCCATGAGTTGGGTCCAACTCGACGGCACATAACAACAACAACAAAGTTAACATTTAGACATATGAACTGGTTGTATAACTGAGTTTTTTATGCTTTGGCTTAATAATAGAAAAACCAAATGAAATACTAGTTACACAGATTTAAATTTTTAAGTGATAGAACATGGCTGTGTTTACTGGTAAGTTTTTTTTAATATAAACGAAAGCAATTGATTTTTATTTTATTTTATTTTGGTCGTCCCTCCTCATCTTCCTCTAACATTCTTCTAAATTGATCTATCTCGGAGACAGTAGGTTCCCTATTCTTTAGTTGCAGATGACTCATAAGTATTCTTTTGCATCCATTATTAGGTTATCAAGAAAATCGGGCATTATCTCAAGATGAATATAACAGTACCGGAGGATTACATCAAAGGTTTTATTCGAGCCAACAATACCTTCCTTTATCAGCTCGTTTTTGATCCCATCAAAAGGAAACTTACTCCTCTGAATGCCTATGAAGATGACATTGATCCCGAAACACTAAGCTATGCAGGATGGTATCTTTTCCAAATTAGAATAGTAGAAATTTTTGTTTGTTTCTATTATTTTTATAGATATTTATAGGGTCACTATGAGTTGAAATCAACTTGACAAGAGTGGATTTGGGATTTTTAGTGAGACATTGAATAAAAAGCTTGCAAATTATCTTTTACTTTCCTTTTTTTTATTGTGAAATCTGTATTTTGTTCATTTTGATTAACATACTAGTGAAAATTTGAAGCAACCTTTTATTTATCAACCTGAGGCTTATTTGTTAGAGTATACTAATTTTTTTTAGATTGACTTGACAGAAACCTGCATAGGGATTAATCACTTATGTCATACATTCCAAAAGTAGCTCTTGAGAGAACCCTTCATTACAAGTGATCTTGATTTATCAAAAGAGCCTTCTGGGTATGTGAGTACACCAGGAAAAAATGCTTTTCCACAGCCCCTCACCAGGCTGACCCAGGATGATTAGAGTTCTGAGTCGTGATCTTGTCTTCTCTCTCTATTCTCTTTGAAAGGCAGTAAGTGATGATGACTTGGGACTTTGCTTCAGGAAATGGCCAACTCCTGCAGTGGCCAATAGGGACTAGTTAACTGTGCCTGCGGTTGTGGTTAGCATAGCATTACTATGTTAATAGTGGATAGGAAGTAAAATCCACTTAAAGCTAAACTTGAAGATTTTCTGTGACAGTAGAAAATAATTTTCTGTTTTAATACAGTATCATTTTGTTTGGTTGTTCATAAAGGCATTTTTCCTTAATCTTACTAATCTAGGTATGTTGATGATTCTATAGCTCTTCAAATAGCGCTTGGAAATAAAGACATAAATACTTTTGAACAAATCGATGACTACAATCCAGATACTGCTACGGTAACTTTTTTTTTTAAACTGTGCTTTTGGGGAAAGTTTTCCATGCAGCAATTTATACATACTTATTTTTATGGCATTAATTTCAATCTCCACAATGTAACCGCACTCTGCCTACTTCCTCCCTGTGTTTCCCATTTCCATCTGTCCTCCTTTTCCTGTCCCTTTCTGCCTCCTGATCTTCATCCCTGGGCAAATGCTGCTCTTTTGTCTCATGGTTGATGATTAATGGGTATCTCCCAGGTGACATTGTTCGCCTTCTAGGCCTGTCTCTTGTTTGGCTGAAAGTCGATCCACTGTGCAGTAACATTTTAAAGACTATTTTTTTAAAAGGACACACTTAAGATTTGTGTTAGGGACTTTGATTAAAGGTATTGAATATGTCGGCTATGAATTAGAATGTTACAGATTACTAAAAGAGCCATCCTTCATGAACCCAAATCCCTATCTGATCTTTTCTCATAGAGAAATTTTTGTAGAAAGCATTAATTGTACAACAAACCACTTAATTTCTTCCATTTATCTCAAATTTATTTTCAATCTTATTTTCCACTTACCAATTATTCTTAATTACCTTCTGGTGGCATAGTAATTAAAACATTTGGCTGCTAACCAAAAGATTGATGGTTCAAACCCATCAGCTGCCCTGGGACAAAGATGAGGCAGTCTGCTTCCATAAAGATTTATAGCCTCAGAAATTCCATGGGGCAGTTTTACTGTCCTACAGGGTTCCTATGAGTCAAAAGCGACTCAATGGCAATGGTTTTAAATATAAGCCAGATTGGACTCCCAAGTTTAGGAGGGATTTTTTTCAGGTGAGGTTCATGCCTATATTTTTGGTACTTTGGCTATCTTACTGTGTTAAGATATCACTGGCATCCCCTTAGCAGATCATGTGTTACAATTCTGAATAACTTATAATAACCTTTAAAAGTGATTGCTTACCAGTATTAATTGGCATTAAGCACTTCCTCAGAAAGTTTTGCGCAAAACTCAACGTAGCCCAAAGAGTAGCCTTCTTTTTCTCTGTATTGTCTACTAGTGATGGTACCATGTACAGGTTTTATAGAAAATATAGTAAAACCTGTGAGAGCTGGAACGTGATGAGACTATATTCTTTTTCTGGTTCTCACAAGTTTTCTGCTTCTGACAGAATGCAATCTTACCACTCTTCTATTGCTCTCTGTTCATGGAAATATTTTGAGTTGTTCTTCTCTTACAGCTTCTGTCTTACCCAGGTTCCGGCTTTTGCAAATTTTACTGTAGTTTTTTGTATCTTTAATTTTTTTTTTTTTTTTATTAGGATTTGGGTGAAGATTTACAGAGTAAATTCACTTTTCATAC